AAAGTAAAATATTTCTGGAATATACTACTATTTATTGTATTATTAATGATAACATTGAAAACTCTCTGTTGTTAAGATGAATGATAAAAATTATATCATTAAAACAAACAATATTAATATTATATTAACTAAACCTAAAATAAAAAATGTTATAATACATATTATTTTATTCAAATTCTCTAGCAATAATTTGTTGTAAAAAACGTATTAATAAATAAATAAATATTAATATTTTGAAATAAAAGAAGTCAGATCGATTCACTTGATCACATAATTGATATAATACTATCGGTTATAATCTATAACTCGAGTTCGCGAAACATGTTGCCATATAAAAATGTGCTGAGTTCGCATAAGCGCTGTCGGTCTTTTTAAAGATCTTCGCTGCTTTTATACGACCGCGTTCAAAATAAAAAGGACAATTAAAACCTATTAGCCCGTTAAAGAGCCGATAAATTCGCGTATCCCCCATTTTTGTTGAGCGCGCGCGTGCGCGCGCGCACGCATGCATGCGTGTGCACATGCGCGGGTCGCATTATCAATCACAACTTGAAAATCTATTTATCTGTTCGTCGGATCGGTGCTCGTATCGCTGTCGGGTTAATTAATTGAATTTATCGAGGGTTCGCTCTCTTGCAATGAAAGCCGCTCGCGCACACGCGCGTTGCCGCCGATCATCTGACAACATAATCGGCCCTGACAACAGAATGGTAAATAAATGTCGAAGACGGGAGGAGATTGGAGTGCGCACAGAAGAGAAAGGAGAGGATGGTTGAGAGCACGCATGCACAATAAAGTCCGCAAAAGGAAACGAGCGGGTAAGCAAGTGAGCGAGATTGAGAGAGTGAAAGAGAAAAAGATAGTGTCCGAGCAGGATGAGGAGGAAGATAAAACAGGAGAAATTCATAGAATGGGAGGTTACGGGGACACTTGCTGACAGATAAATATATGAAAATGAGTTGAGTGGGGGGAAGTGGAGAGTAAGAGTAAAATTTAGGGTACATGTACGTAAAATAAAAGGCATTTGAAGCATAAAAGAACCTACGCGAAAAATATTGAATGATGGAAAGTACGGAAAATTGAACAGATTGGAGTTGTAATTAAGGGAAACGATCAATTAACCCTTGATTTAGAGAAATCGTATCACAATTATACATAATATTTCGATAAAATGTATTTAAAAATAAACTTAGACTCTTTTCATTTAATAAGTAATAAATATTTTAGGATGAGTTTCAAAAATATTTAAGTATGCATTAGTAAATATGCTATTGATATTGAATGTAATGAAAGTAGTATTACTGGTAAATGTATATATTATACCAAAGCAATCTCGTTTTACATTTATAGCTGTACGTTTTTGCAGCAATCAGAGTATTTAATAACTCATTACAAGCTATTGGTTTACAGATAACAAATATAAATATTTAAAGTATTGAATATAATATTTCTTAAAATATATTTAATTGAGAGTTTATTTTCTTTGCATATTTTTTACAATTGTTACATCACCTCGATTAACAGAAAAAGTAAATCGTATCTAAATGTTACACGTGCCCAATTATTTTCATAAAAATTCATCATAATGCTCATGAAATTTAAATTTAGTATAAAATTTGTAATTAAAAGTAAAAATTATGGTAATTTATATCAAATTTTATGTTTTTATCGTCATTACTTTTATAATTACAATTTAATTATAATGTATAAAACTTACAAACGATCAAAGAGTAAAAAAATATATTTTTTTTAGAAAAAATTGATATATCATATATTACATTAGAATTATAAAACATGAGTAGAGATGAAATTAATAAAGGAAATCTTTGACTAATTATATAAAGTAGTCAATGTATTCATACATATTATACATATATATGTAAATGTATTAACAGCTCATTAATGTTTCGTTTTTTTTCTTCTTTAACGAAACACGTAAATAAATATTAATATGAAAAGTATATACGCGCTTTAACTTAATTTGAATGTATGAATGTAACCGAAGCTAAATTTTGATAAAGAACAAATCGCACGATTTGTAATGTTATTATTAAATCGTAGTAAAATCTACCCTCGTTAAATCTTAAACGAACGAATTAAAATGACATCCTAGAGAAAGTTCTTCAAAGAGGCTCGACTAAAGGTAGAAGGAACTATTTTCAGAGTTGGGCACAAGAGAAGTACGACCGAGGTCGGAGCGAAATTCGTGTGGCCAACCGCCGAAGAAGTGAAACGTCCTGCGTAGTTACTAGGGAACCTCCTCACAAAGCCAACCACAGCTACGTACGAGTATGTGTCGCGCCGATTATCATGCGTGCGCTCCAGAATTCGCCGTGTGAGACTTTCTTTCTTTGGAACACAGAAGGGATAGAAAGAGAGAGAGAGAGAGAAAGAGAAAGAGAGAGAGAGAGAAAGAGAAAGAGAAAGAGAGAGAGAGAGAGACAGAGAGACAGAGAGAGAGAGAGAGAGAGAGAGAGAGGGAAGGCGGAGGCAAAGCGATAGAGTCGGTAATTTAAGAGGATTTACGGCGCAATCTACGTCAATTACCAAAGTCTCCGCGCGATCGAGCGGACGAGGACCGTCTTTTTATCCTTCTTCTGTCTTCCCGGTGCTTTTTCCTTCAACTCATTGTAACGGTGTGGATATTCGTTGCTTGGCTCTCGCGCTGAGTAGTAATGAGCGGCGGATCCTCGAAAACGCTCATACGATAAATTTCTTGCCCACCGATTTAGGTTTGTCGATGACGAATGCGTCTTTGTCGGTTCAACGACGTTTTTTATAGCGCGTACTGAGGCCGATGCACGAAGGAACAAATAAATGATTTAGTTCGATATCGTCTGCTATTTATGGTTAATAATAATTTGTATGTTTACAAATTATCCATTAAAAAGAATATTCTTTTCATATGAAAATCTCCCATATAATAGGTTTCTGTTAAAAATTTTGTTAAAAATTTCTGTTAAAAAAACCGTTTCAACAGTCGTATAGGAATACTTCCTGTTCGCACATTTTATGTATATTAATAATTTTTAAATTCTATGCATTAGATATATTAATGAAATAATCTTATTATACATGTAATTTGAAAGATCGAATTCATTATTTTTAATAAAAGAAAAACTAGATATTCAATATATGATTTTTAAAAAGATATTAACTACTTTCAAAATTGTCATTTCTGAAGAAAAGGTTGCCTACCTTATACAATTTTTAATATAAAGCAATATAAATAATTTATTTCCGTTCCAAATAAAAAAAGTAAATGTATGCAAATATAATTTTTTATCAATAATAATTAATCATTACAAAAGATTGGATATTTATAAAATTTTATACTAACGTACTAATTCAATTGTATGTACAATTATAAGTAACATTAATCGAATGTGTTACTATTTATGTTAAATGATTATTGAATTTTGTTATTGTTCTGTGAGAAGTAGGTAAACAGTATATATCGATCATAATTTCTGTTATCAATGTTTCATTATCATGCATAAAATTGATAAATCGAACAACATTTGCATTATGCTGGTCTGATCAAATAGAAAGGATTCCAGTTGAAAAGATCATTATGGAGTGTGATAATCCTGTTAGTCTACACCTGCTCAGCATGCTTTTGAGTATTATGATTTATCGGTACGTGACGGATACTAATCCGATTAAGCTCTTTAAATATTTGCCATGTAGTTTAAATTATATAGTGACAATATTAATTCCATTCAATGCCAGAACAAATAATGTAAAACAACAACAAGATGTAGTTTTGACTTATTTGCATTGAAAATGTATTTATGTATTTATTTATAAGTGTTTTGAATATGATATTTGAACGTTGTTGCTATTTCCAAGGCGAATATTATATACGTATTTATACAGTCATGATAAGATTACCGGCAATATGTTATACAAATATGACCAATATGACTTGTACGCTAATTATGTTAGAACTTCAATATTCTTGATGCTTCATTTGAAAAACATTTAAGCCGTTATATAGATTTTATACGTGTATTCGTGAGTTAATAAAGAAAATAATATATGCATTTTCTATGTTTCTTATGCTCATTTTGCGGTTATTGCTAGTAATTTAATGCGAGCGCTTGAAATTTATGTATATATTTTTTTTCTGATTTTAGTTTAAAATTTTTTATTCAAAATATGTAATCATTTTATAGATACGTTAATAGATTATTTATTATAATTCTTGTATTATAAATTTTATTATTTGTATCAGTAATATACGTCATTTAATTTTTTTTTAATCGCAAGACAACATGTTTATTAGTTCATTTAATATGATTTGGAAAATAATATGAATGTCAGAACATTAGTATTCAGTTATGGAACAAATATATACTTATAAATGGTTTTTATTTGAAAAACGAATAATTAATATTATATTTCACGCATATAATTAGCGCATAATATTAATTGTACTTTTTTACAAGGGATAAAACGATAAAACCATTAATGAAAAATATACACTATCAGACAAAACAATAAAAATTTTAAATCTAATTATCAGAATATTTTTCTATTTTAACGTTACTACTTTTGTCCTACGGATTCTTTAAAAAAAAGGATTTCTTGTAAATCAATATGTATTGATTGCCTTATAGCCATCATTAAAATATAACTAATTTGCTAAAATAGCTGTCAATGCATAAAAAGTTACCGTAAAATGCCATATTAGTGTTTATATCCTAGGAATACTTTCTTATTTACAATATTAATTAAAAATTAATCGTTATAATAACTGTCGATATTAATGAAGGATTACCAAATAGAAAAATATCGACTTATTTGCATGATTAGTCATTGAATTATGTATGCAATCAACGTCCTTCTAACAAAGTGCAAGCTTAGACTTTTCGTTTTTTGAAGCTTCTTCTTATTTTGGTTCCTCATAAACAGCCACGGGACTTCTAACGCGAGGTTATCGTGCAATAGGAAGAATGGCGTACGAAGAGAAACACGCTATGTAAAAAAATACTCACCCTGTCGTACTGATGGCTCGGTGCCGCCGTGGAGAAGGGCTGGAAGGGCGCAGGCCTCGCAGGACTGTGATGGGCCGTGTGAGGGTTACCAGCGTGGGCGACACTTGGATGCGGGGCCGCATGGGGATGGGGCGGTGGTGGCCTCTGATAGAGATACGGATAGTATTGATACATAACCTCGGAGCAGCTCATCACCCCCCTGGGCGGGCCCCCCGGCACTCCGGCAGACCCGACTCCGTTCCCGGCGCCGCCTCCGCTGCTGCCGTCGCCGGCCTGACGGTTACTGTACGCGAACGTCGCGCCAGCGGGATAACCGACCGCCGGGTAATCCGACGCCAATGCTCGCGATGCGTCCGCCAGCGATCCGGGGGATGATGCGCGACCGGGGTTAGCTCTCGCTACTTGCCGGTCCTCTGGCTCGTTGGCCTCCGCCTCTCACTCGCTTTACACTTGTTGTTCGCTTAACCGAGTCTTGGTCGGCTGACGCCAGTATCTTATCGAACTGTCATAGTTCTGATCCACGTGCTTAGTCGATAGTTCTTAGTGCTGGTTGCTTCTTGTTCGCCGATAAATCTACTGGTGCATGGTCCACCAACACAAATGGCAGCCGATCTCACATTTATCCGCGCCTCTTGACGAGTGCTCCAGCAAACTACAGGAAAAGCCCCGTCATGTGCACGTCCCTCGTCAGTCTGTCTGTCTGTCTATCTCTCTCTCTCTCTCTCTCTCTCTCTCTCTCTCTCTCTATATATATATATATATATATATATATAAATATATATCTATCTATCTCGTTCTTTCGCGCATCCGACAGCGTGTGCCTCTGATGGACAAACACAGACTGAGCCTTAACTCAGCATATAGCCAGGCTCCGGGGGCCCCGTACACCATCGAGTTGTCCCGTCTTTTTCTAGCTCTACGATCGTCGGCCGCCGCCACCGCCGCTGTTACTCTCCTCGCGTGCGGGAGTCACTGGCTTGATGCCAGAGCGAGAAAGGAGAGGTTCGTTGTGGAGACAGAAACACTGTTAACAGGGAGAGGGAGAAGGAGCGCACAGAGTAAGAGTAGTAGCGGTAGCCCCAGGAAGCGGGCAGGGGACTCCGCCTCCTGGCAGTGCCGAGACATCGACCAATCGGCAGACTGGGACACGACGTCCAATGAGGCGACGATGCCACTCCTACGCGAGAACTGCGAAGCCCGTTTCTGTATTGATCCCACAATGAACTCTCGACTCTTCTCTCCCTCTCTCTTGTGTCGCTTTTTTTATTCGGTCCCGTCGGCTACTACTGCTGGTGTAGCCCGTTCGTTAATACCGCCGCGGGTATTAAGAAGTTCGTAACTAGTCAAGTCGAACCGTTCCACCGACTTTGCTGCACGTCGTCTGCATTATACGCCTAATATCTTTCCACCTACGTAAGCAGAGAGAGAGAGAGAGAGAGAGAGAGAGAGAGAGAGAAAGACAGGATGGGGTGTGCCTTGGTCGGAGTATAATGAGTCTTAATTAACAGTTACGCCGCTACTGTTTCGGGGAGCTTAATTTTGTAGCGAAAGCATGAGGCCGTCGCAGTACTATATCTACCGGGAAAACTTCTTGCCTCTTACTCTTCTTCGTGACTTCTCGCGTTCTTCTCCCTTGTGGAATCCATGAGTTTTTCCTCTAGTGTTAAGAAAATTGCGGATGAATGAGGAGCGGCAAAGTTTGGGTGGACGTAACGGAGAGAGAAGGCAAGAAGTCCGATATGCGGAACAATTACTTTTCACACCGAACACTCCAAGAGAATTAGTAATAAGAGGCTAAACGCTGCACAGAATAAGTAACAAGGACGATTGCCTCAGTGCGGTTGATTTCGCGCGGATGGCGTCTTACTTTGCCGTTCCTTAAATTTTCTTTTTTACGAGACATTCAGTATGCTGCCCGAGACTTTACTCATTAAAATATTTACATAGAGATTTCGAGAAAACAGATGAATGAGCAGCTAACCCTGAGCGATAATTAAATACTACAAAAAATATATTTTTCCGTTTAAGTGATTTTTTACATACTTTGTTTCAAACGTACTATTTAACTATAAACCGTTAGCTTTCATCTTTAAACGAGTTGTTTCATTATTATATAATTCATACGATAAAATTTCTTTGCTTTTTTATATGCATTTAAGATTTTCGAATCAATGTTAATTAAAGAAATACTGGTAAAACTTGAGTATTTTGCAGATATTCATTAATTAATTACCAAAAGTAATTATAATGTATAAAGAAACTACAAAAGTTTAAGATATCAAATCGAAATAGAAGCCTCAAACATTAGACTAAATGAATTGTTTGAGTTCTCTTTAATTTTTCAGTGACTTCTGTTAATGTACATTAAATTTGCGATTTTTAATATTTTTAATATTTTTAGAAAACATTTAATTTTATAAAAGGGTACCCTTTAAATATAAAACTTTAATATCATTTATTATGATAATCAAATTCCAAAATTTTACATATTATCTTTTTGCATACTTATATCGTAAATACTTCATTTTAATTTATTTATAAAAAATATATAAAGAAATAGAATATTTAAAACAATTATAACAATACTTGAATATATTGAAAACATATTGAAGTAATGTATATGTATTTTAATTTACTGAAAATCTAACTTTGTTGTTTAGTTTTTATGAAAAATTAATTATCTGACAAAAAATATTTGAATGATTGTGAATTAAAAATATGGAATGTATTTATTTCATATATGTTTAAAAAAAATATATAGATGTTATGTTTAAATACAGCTTTTATATTCAAGATTATTTTATAAAGGTAATTAAATTCTGTACAATACTAATTTGTAAATTTGAATCCATAATAACATATATATAATTTAATACAACTGCTATATTTGTAATTAGAAAATTTTTAAAGTGTTATTAAAATTAATAGTATTTTTTAAATATTGCTTGACTCTTATAATTATTATTTTATATCAAATAAATTCTCTTAAATCAATATAAATAACTTATTCATATTTTGAAATATTAAGTATATAATACAAAACTATTGAAATAATTTTATTCAACCTTATTCAATATTGTTAAATTTATAAATTCTTATTGAGAAGTATAAAAAAATATATTTATATATACAGACAGAAAAAGATACGTATTTTAAGCAAGAAGAAAAGCATGAAAGGCAAAAGCTAATTAAAGACTGAACTGAAGAAATGGAATGAAAAGGAAAAAACATTGTAGACGTGTGAATGAAAAAAATAAGAAGCATGATATAAAAGTTTTATCGAAAGATGGCGGAAATGGAATATGGCATATGCATAGCATATTTTGTATTGCTTACTGCAGACTTGAATCTTAATATCATTAATAAATAAAATAATATGAAAATAATATTAATTACAATAAATATAATTATAATTATATATTATATAATGATAAAGCTATTGAAAACTAAATCATAAATTGAAAAGCAGCAATCACAGTCTTTCTACTAGGGGTGTAAGTAATATGAATAATTTTATATTATTTGTAATATTCTCAATATTATACTTAATATTATTATTAAAATTTATAAAAAAAATGCTTTAAATATATAGAGCTCATTTGATGAGTAATTATGAATTATAACTGAAATTATATATTACTAACAATATTAAAAAAAAAAAAATTAATAATTATTTAATAATGATAAATTAGTACTCAATGATTAATCAATTTAATTATACGTACTTTTCTCCATTTAAGCATAAATTACAATTTTATACCTATATATATGTATGCATCCAAGAATTATTATATAAATTTCAACGAAAAATCTTCTCATATTTGAAAACTTTCTACATTATGTTCAATAAATTATGAAAGTACAAAATTACAAATATTAATTATTTTAATTTAACATTGATATTATTTAATTTATAGTTTTTAAATATTTACAAATGAAAGTTGAAATTTATATAATAATTTTTTATAAACTAGTCATTTATATCTTCTTTAATATTAAAATCTAAGAAATTTTAATTATTAAAATCTTTTATTAATAAAATTAATTAAATTTTCATGATATATTAGGTTTATCGCAAAATATTATAAGTCATAAAATAGCAGGAATATATAATTTAAACGCAGTCATGAGATTATTTCGTACTGTAAGACAGAAATTATAATAAAAATGGATTCAGCGTGTAATACATAGTAACGAAAATGCTAAAATTTACAGAATAATTTTGTGTTAATTGTAATTATACTTTTCTATTATTTTAATAACAAATATATATTTTAGTTTATTTAAATAAGTTTGCTTGTGTAATTGTGAGCGAATTAAATATCTTTAAGTATTTATGAACATTGACCTACCTAATCAAATGTTTAAAATATTATTTCTATGAGTAGATATGAATAATATTTAGAAGTTTAATACGAAACTAATTTTATGTAATTCATTCTTTTTCAATTGAAATTTTAATTTTAATAAAATTTCGATGATAGAAAATTTTCGCTTTATTTAATTTAATTGAAATTAAAACTATGCAATTGTTAGAAATAATATATAACATTTTTTACTCTAATTTTAAATGAAAAATTTCTTTCGAGAAATACAATGCATATAATATTATATTTTGGAAAAATCTCGAATGTATAATAATAAAATTATATGATTATTATTATTATTATTTAATACTTATATGCATAATAACTAAATTCTATATTTTATTATCCGTACATAAATCTGCTTCATTAGCAAAAGATTGATATGTTTAAGTCGGATTAATATATGCATATATTGTGTAACTTTTTAATTATTAACTAATGAAGTTATAAACATTGTCGATATTTGTAAATTTTTTATAATAATTTAATTAGAAATTCCTTTGGATCTCTAAAAGGTAGGTTAAAAACTCGCTATTTTCATGTTAGGAAAATTCATTAAAAACATGTAGATCTTTAAAATAAAACTTTCGAGGTATTTTGAGATTACAAGATAATTCTTTAGTGATACGTAGGCCTGCAGCAGAATTACAGCATTATCTACCGCTCGATTTGTTGCGCGATGGTTCCTCAGCAGCACTGTCATGGCAGTTTACTCCATCTCTGACGCACTCGGATGTGCGGCCGGTCCCTTACAAAAGGGTAATTCGTGCAAAAAACTGGCAATTTTCAACAGTCCCTCTCTCTCTCTTTATTACTTTTACTCTCTCTTACTCTTTCATTCTCTTGTTCGAATCAATTATCCCCTAGATAATATATGAAATGAAGGGTGGTTGGGCTGGGGGTAGAGCGGTATCAAACTATTCGATATACTTTGAAACTTGGAGTACCTTACTGAAGTTAATTTTGCAAGACAATTGAGAGAAAAGGGGATCGTTTTTTAATTATAAGACAAATATGTGCTTTGATATTGGTTCAGATACTATTATGTGAAATAATAAATGCTAATAAATTTTCAATATTCACTAAACGCTTTTCTTAAATGTAACAATTCTATATGTAAAATTGTATAAAGCTTTTAAATTAACGCTATTCACTATTCTTCATATTGAATAAAAACTAGAATTTTAGTATTTTCTAAGTAATATATAATCGATTTATATATAAAATTCAATTAATATTAAAATATTATTTTCAATTTTATTAAACAAATATTAAATTTTGTAAAAATTCTAAAATATTTTGATTAGTTTATGTATTTGGCTATTTAAATTAAATAGTAATTAATCATTTATAATAAATAGTTAATATTTATTTAAAATAATATTTTAATAATGTTAATAAATAGAAGTCTGTAATGAGTATCAAGTACTTTTAATTATTATGAACCCCAATGTATAATACATATTATTTCTAGATTATTATAAATAATTTATAAAGCAGTTAATTATATTAAAAAATCTATAAAAGCTATAATTTATTGGTTCTATTATAATATTGATACAGGTAAATATATAAAAATATATGATACTTTTTATTATATTGTTTTGCTATATTTACTATATTGTTAAAAAGCTCGTAACTCTGAATACTTATTTTAATGAAGGAAATATCCAATTATTCAAATGTTGTTTAGTACAATTACAAATGCATTTAAAAAGAATAAAATAATGAAACATAATGAAATTCCTAATATTGAGAATCATTCAGATTTCGATTGCTTGTATTATTAATAAGAAGCACTGTATTATTTTACTTATACGATACAATATTAATGTATTTAGAATACTTATCTATATTGTCTCATACAATATTTGAAATCCTAAAAAATTCTAAAACGTTTTCATTAAAGCAATTAATAATTTATATAAATAATGCGAAAACCGTAGAAAGGCAAACATTGAGATTATTTTATTCGACAACACTATACTTATGAGTCTGTAGTGTTATTTAAAGATAAGAACTCTTAGAGATCATTTATTCTCGAGATATATTAGCACATCATCGTATAACTGAAGAAATCCTCCTTCAAAAGATGACAAATACCGCCAAGTTAAGCAATCGTAAAAGACTTGAGGAAGAGACAGAATGATCGAGATGGCAGCGGCATGAGAGAGAGGGGATGGGCGACTACGAAGAAAGAGACAGGACTGTTCTCTCATCGCTTGAATAGAGCACACAGTACTTATATTTTGGCTCTTCTCATTTCACGAGCCGTCGAAAAATCAGTTAAGCGTTGAACGATGGCTTTTAATAAAAGCCACCCCAGTGGCGCTCCTTTTGATTTCCTTGCACGTCCCACGAGCTAGTGCTTCAGAGCTCAAGCACGCGTCCATTTATTGCGGAAAGGAAACATCATCGGGCCATATCGAATCGCCATCTAATGTGTAATACGCGCGCCTAATCTCATGTGTAATCTAGCAGGTCCCTCGAAGGGGAGGAAGTGCCATCACCGGACAAATCCAATATAACTCTGGCGATGAGCGTGACATTGCACTCGGGAGCTTTTTTACACCCTACGGGCTGTAAGACTCGAAGTCCGTATTTTTTTATCCTTCGTTCTCCACTTGTCCTCTCTCTCTCTCTCTCTCTCTCTCTATTTATATATATATATATATATATATATATATATATATATATATATATATTTTATATATCTATCTATCTATCTATCTTTCTTTCTCGCATTTATCCTTTTTTGAGCTATGTGTCGACTCCCCAGGTTAGCAGTGCTCGTAGTAGTAGTAGTCATCGCGCACGTGGCCACTTGACAATGGAATAGGTTGTACACCCCGCTGCTAATAGAGGGGCATTGAATTTGTCAGTGATATTGCCACCGGGGTGCCCTTTATATTATCTCTCCCTCCCTCTTGCGTGCGCCCATTGCCAATGAATGGAATGATGCTTGAAATATGCTGGAGATCAACGTTTCAACCGCTCCCTGTTACTCCTCCCCTCGCATATCCACCCTCTTACTCTACTCCACCCCTCTTCGTGGAGATTTTCGCGAGGGTCTTGTGTATCTATTGGAGAAGAAAAAGAGTGAACGTACACGTGCTTGGAGCAATGAGAGCGTTAACATGAGATGTGCGGACGTCGGATTTGATGCATATGTAAATTGAAAATTCATAACATGCGCACAAACAGGTAGATAGAATTGAGAAGGGAGGAAGAGGCAATAGCCGGGCACGACGCTTCGTCGAGCATTAATTAAATACTAGAGAATTCAATAATAGAAATACTTAGCGAATTCTTAGCCTCACCCCCTGTGCCTTGTACGCAAGGGAGAAGCTTTGTACGTTAGGAGTGTATATGACGATCCAATTCGATGATGGCAGGCAAAGTGCACGAGAAGAGATATACGTGCCCCGGCACTTATGTGCAAGATGCGCTAGTTGCGTTTGTACTTTTGTTATGCCAACCGTGGCATTGGACTTGTATAATTCGTTATTGGGTGCTCTTTTATATTCGTGGTTTTTCATGTAAATTCAACCGCGTCGATTGTTCGATTTAGCCACGCGGAAATTAATAAGTCCGTTAGAGTATTTGTGGGGTGGCTCGTTGGATTTCAAAGGAGAGCGATAAATTATTGCTGGGACGACCAACAGCTATTGTTTTGTCAACTTTAAGACAGCTTATGCGCCCTTCGGCCCACACAATAAATGTATCAATCTTTCATTGAAACGTATGAAATTGATTAATTTTACTTATTTTCAAAATGGAAATTATTATTACTTTCAGTTTTGTCGAGGTTCATGATAGGTATAAAAAAATTCGGTATTATAATAGTTACCTATAGGAATTAATTGTGACGAAATCAAATCACATCACCAAATATAAAAAATTATAAATTTGATATCATTTATGTATACACAAAATTGTAAAAATCATTTTAAAAAATTCTTATGTTATAATATATTATATATTATTTTATTTTAAAATTATTTTTGTTTAACGCTTTCATCTCAAACATTTTCTTCTCAACTGTATATTATTAATATAGTGATAAATTATTAAAAAACATTGTTATTTACAAGCAGTTAAGTTATAATGGAATACAATTGTTGAAACCCAACAATTATACTAAAGCATTGTAGTAACGTAAGTATGGGCGTGGCTTTTAACTTTCGTATGTTTGTAAATTATTTGTTATTTTATAATCTGATCTTCACATAATGTTTAGTATAATTTTATAGTTTTTTATTTGCACAGTATCATTTTCTTGACATGGTATCATTTTTTGTAAAAATAATTACCATTTTAGGAAAAATTAAATAAAATTTGATTTTACTATATATAAGTATATCACATTAAGAAAAATTAACTTACAATCAATATCAAGTAAGAATTGAAATGTTCATTTAAAAAATTATTATAATCAATTTAAAAAGGAAAATTTATTTAATTGTGTATTTAATTATTAATTATTGCAAATTTATATAATTACATTGGTCAAAAATATTTAATTTTAAATTAAATTTTAAATAATACATATAAATTTTATAAGTGCATTATATTATCAAAATATATATATTGCTATTTGTATTGATGTTTCAAATGCATTTTTCAAATTAAATAATTCACCGTTAATAGCGAACAAAATTTATTTTATATATTAAATTGAAATAATTAGAAACATTAAGATAATTTAAAAATGTTTAACGCTGCTTTTTATAAGCCGACAAATAACACTTATATTGTTAAAAATGATTTTGTAATCGGGATTATCAGCACAGTAATAGTTAGCTTCTCTAAGTGAAAGCGTTGTTGGTGGCGCTACATACTGTGCAGAGTTACAATGGAATATACAGCTTAAAACGTTAACTTAATGAAATAAATTTGATCAAATTTATGAAGGTAGAAATTTACATAATTTTATAAGTACTTTATTATTCAATCCGAATTTTTAAATATATCAAGCATTTGAATAGCGAGATTTTAAAATAAAATAATTTGTTCTACAAATTAATTTTGTTTATATAGTATATAGTTTATTTATCATTGATAATACAAGAAAATAAACGTACATATATATGTGTATCAAATTTTACAAAACATGTTTATTTTTGTATCATAAAATACTGACAATTCTATATTATCTTTGAATGATAGTATCGATATCTGTTTTATCTATAGCATAATAAAAAGGATAAAATAATTATAACTTTAATATTTACTATTTGCATTATTAAAAGATTAAGTAAAACTGGTATCCAGTATATTATATAAATAATAAACAAGGTAAATTTTGTATAAATATCATTATTTAATGAAACAATTTTTAAATAATCATCGCAACGACGATAGTCGTATAAGTTTATTTCTTATTAAATTATTATTAAATATTAGGGCAATGATGTTAAATCGCTACATTAATCGACAAATTACATTCAGCAACAATGATTTATCTAAAATGTATTCATTTTTATCAATTATTTTTCAATGATAGTAACTATAGCTCTTTGTGAAATTTGTATTCAGTTTTTTTACTGCATTTCTTGATTTAAATATCAAATACCGCAATAAAGCAAAACATTATTTTAACTACTTGACGATTGACAATCTGTTTCAACTTTTTTTTTAATTTTTTCTTCAGCTTCTTCTTGATCATCCAAAAATTTATCCCATTTATTTATTCTTGCTTCGATTTGTTCTTCCGTCTCTCGAATTCTAAATATAAAAATGAAGCATCATAGTTTTATTATTTTATTAGTTGATAATGCATATATACATATCTCTATATATATACATGGGGATAAATAGAGGGAAAAAGAGAAGGCACGAATATATACTTACTTGTATTTAGTTTTGCCATCCCAGATTTCAGCTGTTATTTTTCTTTGTCCAAACCATCGTCCGTTCAATAACAGTATGCAAGCTTGAGCTTCTTCAGGCTCTTTGAATGTTACTTGGGCCACACCTTCAGGATGTCGCTAAAATTACAAATATGACGTTATTTTTAAGTATATATAATATCTCATACTTAGGTTCTCTATTCTGTAATATACGAAAACTTATTTAATATGCAAATTAAAACATTAAATATAGATATTTAAATATCACACATAAAATTTTGTTAATTTTTTAATAATAATATTTTAAATATTATTAAATTATTAAATATTATTTATTAAATATTATTAATTTTTTAAATAACCTTTTTAAATTACTTTAAACTGTCCATAATATTTTTAAACCTGAAATTTGTGTTAGTTTCATCAATAAAGCTATTATGACACGAGTACTAAGAAAATACATTCAGAAGTAATAGAAAATCATAAAATTAATATGAGCATGTAAACGTATTGTGGTACTTATTATTTTATGGACTTAATTACATTGTTTGTGATCAGCTTTTAGAGATTTTTTTTTAATGTGTGAATTTTATTCTAATTATATTAAAAATTATTAAATAATTAGAAAAAATTTTTTTAATTAAAAGAGTATGCAACTATCTATCTTTTACTTATTAATAGATAAGCGATTAAATGTATTATACGAAACTATAATGAAGCTTAAAAGCATTTTTTAATGAATATGTAAAACTTTTTGATGAACAACACAATACACTACGGTACATTATTAAAATTAGCTGTTTCGATTAATTTCATTATTTGCTTCAAGTTAAATATAAAGAGTTAGAATAAATAAGGATTTATACATTTTAGGCAATTATTTCTAATTCAGACGACTATGTCAAGAATAAAAAAATGTATTTGAATGCATTTTTAGCACTTACATCATAGATGGTAACTTTTTTGACCTCGCCACATTTTATACATTCAGATCTGACATCTTGCTGATACTCCAAAAGAAGCGTTACGTCTTTATCAAAATCTTCCGGTTTGAACAGATTTTTTATGATAACGACGCGTTCACATTTGAGCGGTTCTCCTCGCATTCTTTCCGGCCTCCAGTCAAAGAGTCTTTAATTAAAGAAAATAATTAGATATTTATAAATTCTTTTTTGTTCATACAATGTTATGAGATTATGTATCATTTGTCATACTAACTTTTCTTCAATTTTTTTTTGCCTATCTTTATCTTTCTTTTTTCTTTTAGGCTTTAGCGCTGGATTATACGTGCCTTTTAATTGGAATTTCGCTCTTTGCACTGAAAGGGTTTTGTCTCGTATTTGCCAACCATCCAAGATATTCAATGCTAAATTGACAGATTCGACCTAAATAAAATTAAAATTATTGTATATATTTATTTAAAAACAGCTTGGATTCCAAATAATGATGTTCTAGCTTTTATATAAAAATTTAAATAAATCGTTTAATATTTATATATGCTATATAATATATTGTATAATCTGTATCTCTATGAAAAGTTTATTAAAATAATTAGATTTATGTAAAATTCAAATATACCGACCGATTACAATCGTCGTGCGGCATTCCCTGGATGTAATATAGCAAAATTTTATGATATAGAAGGCTAAAAATATTATGAATTACTTATAAAAATTAATTTTCTTAAACATTTTCAAAATTATTTAAAACTCTTAGTAAACAAATAATTTTTCTTAAAGTAAGTTTTAATTGATTTTTATTTAGTTTCGGCCTCTTAATATGGGGGGGGGGCATTCTGCAAATTAAAAATTAATGTATATTTTACACCTGTAGTATGATATTACTTAATGTTTGTTTAAGATTTTTATCGTTTTAGTTAAAATGTGATTAAAGAATCATCATTGAATAATCTACGTTTCCTATAAATCATTTTCTGAAATAATTAGAATGAGTCTAAGTCAAATGAATGGTGAAATAACTATAGAACAACGTAATGGTTTATATGCAAATGTTTGTTGACATCCTTATTGAATGACGTAAGAAGCGAGAATTTAATCATGCCAATCTTACATTTGTAATAACTGGCGTCAATTGAACGTCGAAATAGATAATAGTTAGCATTTGCAAATATAAATAAATTATTATATATTGATTTCAAATATCAATACTATGAAAAAACTTTTGAATTAACACATTAGACTTCTTAGTATAAAAGTTAAATTGAGTCATTATTGGAATTCAGTGTATGCGCATATGTCGAACATTATATATATATATATATATATATATATATATATATATATATATACACATAATATAATTGGGATTACTGCTCCGATTATATAAATGAGTATAAAATCAGTATGAGCTAAATGAAGTAACAATTAATAGTAATAAGATGATGCCAATATCATTATGACGCAATAATTTCTAAGTCAGCTTTTCATATAACAGTGACCTATTAAATTCAATTTTATCAATCAATAAATCGATTATAAATGTATTGTTTAACGTCTAATTTGATATAAATAAAGAACATGATACTTCTGAGATATAATTTGACAACAATTTCGAATTAAAAAGATTATTTATTTTTATATATTTGCCTGAAATTATTAATACTTGTGTAATAATTTTATGAAAATTCTACATGATAAAAAGGTATACATTACTACATAAAACAATTTTTGAGATGTTCAATACAATTTTAAATGTTTATTACTCGAAATCTTCTAATTTATAAATCTTGAACATAATTCATAATAATAATCAAACGTTTCTTTTTATTAATTTTTTTAATTTTAAGAATAATATTGAATACTTGAAGATAACTTAGATATATAATGTTTGTGCTTGGCATAATAACCATTTATGCAAAATTGGTGAAAAAATCGTTGCATTATTTTTTTATTTTATTTTTTTTATACTATAATATTTTATTATTTTACAACAATATAAATTTAAAGTAATAAAGAAAAATTCTACTTATCAACGGAAAGTATCTCCGAAGATAAATTTCTAAAAGTTTAACATAATTTTAATATGGTGAGCAATGGGAAAAACTTCCAATCTTCAAAAATAAATACATATTAATTTCATATTAGAATTTTTAATGATATTTTAAACAATCGTTAAAGATTGTTAATGTTTAAAGAGAGAGTAAGTTATTATTATGAGATAATATATGAGATCATTATGAGAGTAATTGAAATTAAGGATATACGGTTATAGTAAATAGTAAGATTCAAAATGACAGATTAAGGACAAATGATACAAACACTATTTAATTAGAGATGTATATATGTACAAATCGAAAATGTATCCACTTATAAATTTCTTACAAGTGTCTATTCAAAATTAATCGATTGTCAGACACCCTCTCGCAAATGTATACTTGAAATATAAATTCAATTAAAAAATCTTTACTTATTAAAAATGTTACGGTCAAAATAACATTTTAATAAAATTAAAATTAATATCTCGAAATAAAAGCATTGATAAATTTTATCGAATGCATTAATCGGTCAAATTACATTAATTTAGATTTTATATGTATATACTGAAATAATAATCATAACCATAAAATACAAATATTAAGTTAGATACTTTTTTAAGTTGATAAAATAATATTTTTAAACCATATTTAAAATTATATGTGTATATAGTATACTATTCGATTCTTCCAGAGATCTGAAATTTGAAAAATACAAAAATAATTATGTAACATTTTTAGAATATTAGAAAAATCTATTTTTATTTTTTATAATAGATTATTTTATATTATATGTTATAATGTATGATTCGTAAAAAAAGTTGGTATGACTTTTTGTACAACTTTGAGTGACATTGTGTAAGATATGTATTGGTGATATCCGATGTTAATTTTCATGTTCAAAATTTGGAGTTATGGTAAATAAAGTCACATTTTAAAAATGGTCTATTTACTCAAACTTTTTATTCTTATGTATTATAAATTGATTTAATATACGTAAATAAGAGGTATAATTTTTAATTTGTTTATTAAAAATAAAGAATTTAATTTTACCCTATTTCGTCACTTCTACGGATCAATAATAATAATGTTCAATGTTCCAATATCTGACGACTGTTTTAACAACCTGAAATGAGAAATTGTCTTAAACAAAGGATAATATCCTTCCAGGGTATTCCATGCAATTTATTTTATACGATAAAGTAATCTATAAAGGCAATTGAAAACAATAACTTCCTAATGCAATACTATTCAAAGTCTATATAATTTAGGCAAGGTCTCCTGTACAGACGAAACATAAATTTTGCTCTACGTATTTAATTTTCTTATGTCATGAATATTTTAATCTTCCAGAGTAATTGGCGGTTTAAAAAGACGGACAGAAAATTGACTTATGGCAGTTTGTGTGATTTTACATCCTCTATTCCCTCCGTGATTATCCATATCTCGGTTATGTTAATCACAGTTTATAACACGTACTAGTGAAGACGTGTTTTGCTGTAAATATACTGCAATGCAATTGTTCTTTGATACTTACTTATCGAACCACGTTATTAATAATCCAGATGATCTATTATAGTTATGCATATACCAATAATAAATTTAGTTCATATTCTACGTACTTTTTATGTATATCTTATCTTCTGCAGTAATAGAAGTTTTTTATATATATGTGTATAGATTAAATGCATTAGTATATAGCTGATAGATCGGATATAGCAGTTTATAATTTAATTTTATAGTTTTAATTAAAGTTTTCATACCAAATTAATATAGAATCACGTCGTAGAATTACGTGAAAATGACTAACTTTGACACTATTTAAGTTATTTTTCAAAGTCAAATATTTATTTGAGATTTACTTACAGTTGCTGTATAATTAATTTAACATATTTATTTTCAAAATAAAAGAATCGATGTTTTCTACCATAATTAATTAAATGACATATAAATGAGAAATTAAGTAATCAATAAATAGATTTGATGTTAAATATAATAGTTTTAAGTAACTTAATAACGATACATCAATGTAAAAGCGTCCTTATGATATTTCAAAGTTACATTTTTAAGGTGATTTCCGCAATTAAAGTAATACGTACTATATTTATTTAAAGGCAACAACGTCAGTATGCTAAATACATTGTAGTTTTTATACATTTCCATTAAAGTGTGTATTCTGAAATATTTTAACATTATAAAATCTCTTATAATAATCTGATAAAATATAATACAGAAAATATTTTTTGTGTGAGTAAAATATAAGAATTAAAAGTATGAATCACAGTGACTATTAGATAATTTTAAATGTTAAAGTTATAAAAAATACATATACTTTAATTAAACATGGTTAACAAAAATTTATAAACATTAAAATTTTAATTACACTCAATTTAATTCTCGACAGAATATAATATTTCTAAACATTATGAATACATTTGTATTTTTGTATATTTGATTTATAATAGTGTCAATAAGGATTTGATATTTCAAATCAGTAATAAATAAATTTGTATAATAATCAAATAATATTTAAAAAAATAGCTTCTTTAAATTAACCGTTTAGTGAAAGTTACAGAATTTGACTAATTTATTGTTATATTTGTAATGCATCTAGAACAGTTTAAATTGATAAAATATTATTAGTGATAATATATTATTAGTTTTTAAATACGATTATTATAAATAAATAATTTTCTTAAACGAATTTGAGAATACTAATAAATTTTAACATAATCTATAAGTTATTTAAAATGCTAGACCTTTGCATAAATTAAAATTTGCATAATAATTATCGAAATATGAAAATATAATGACAACTATACGTCGTATGTTATAACCTTGTGAAAATTGCATATATTCAAATAACAGAAACATTTTATGAATGCTACATAAATATATTAAATTTCATATTTTGAAACTTAATTTTTATATTAATTTTTTTATTTAACATATATCAAAGGTTGATAAAAAATTTATGTTCAAAAATATAATTGGTTTACGTAAAAAAAAAAAAAATAAATAACTTAATACATAGAGTACAATACATCTTTCAATCATTAATATGCAAAAATAAATTAATGTAATGATAGATATATATTACGAATAATGATAGATATTAACAAGCTTAAATTATTCAAAATTACTTTGCAGATAATGAAAAATATATGTATATTATTTTTTTTTTAATTTACTTGCAAAATTTTGAATAAATTTAAGTATATTTATAAGTGTACATATCTTCTCAGTAATTTATATTTAGATAAATGAAACAATATAACATTGTTGCTAAGAGCATAATAACAGATCAATAGATTTATCTGACGGACAAAGTGATACCACAATTATATATACTCGGGTTTTTCCGAGGAATATCAACATAATTCGATTAATAGA